AATTTTTGTCTACCATTCTTAAACCATTATGGGCCATCGAGATCCATTTACTGTGATGGAGATCGATTTGCAGTTATTGAACATTTTTAGGTCCTCGGACGATAAAAAAACAGATTTTGAAATTTATTTTTATTGTAGATGTTGCACCAATCCTGGAGCCTTTTGAAAATTGGTCAATGATCCAATTGGTCATGAAAAAAGAAAAAAATGATCTAGTGGTTATAAGTTGTGTAACCAGGAATGCACCGGCGATCAAACCCTCTAGTCAAAAGTGGTAAAACCATTAAGTGAACTAATGGGATCAGATTTTAGGGAAAAAAAAAGAAAAATAGATATAATAATTAAAAATATAAAATATATTAAAAAGAATTTTCCCAACTTTATTCAACTGGTTGAATCGATTAAAATTGACCAATCCAACAAGCTAAAACTAATTAAACATTAGTGTTGACTTATTTTAGAACAAAAATCAGTTCTTACATTGGACCGGATCAGTTGAGGCCCTGTCTATAGTTCAACCGTCAAACTGCCGGTTTGGCTCGATCTTAAAAACTATGGTTATATCAATGTTATTAGGATCGAACCGACCGTCAAACAGGGGAGGAGTTTTGTCCATTCAAAATTGATCCAACAATTGATTGAATTGAGTGGACTAGATCTTAGAAAAATGGAAAGGAAAATACAAATAATAGTTTAAAACTATGAAAATATTGAAAAAGAATTTGCCCAACTTCATTTAGTCAGTTGAAGTAGTTAAAACCAGCTAGTCCAACTAGCCAAAATTATTTCAAAAGTTAGTTTTGATTGATTTTCGAACAAACCCGATTTTTATTTTAGACTAGACTAATCAATGCACCATTTGGTAATCCAACCGGTCAAACAACCAGTTTGGTCTGTTATTAATAAGTATGGTTATAATCACTTCACCAATTGGTATGATGGTGTTGGAAAAAAGTTTGGTATATAAATTGAATCACTAAATGGTATTCCCTACTTTATATCATTTATTTAAAGGAAATATTTAAATAAGTTTATAACAATTTATACTGTTCGTTTTATTTAGATAATATAGAGTTACCACTATCTTAAAAAGCATGCCATTTTTTTAGGATTGGTTTTTATGAGCCTAGCTCGTATATTGTAGAAATGTAGGCTTGAGGATAAATATATTTCTAAATATAATTTGATCCTAATTTTTTAAAAAAATATAATCTTTAACATGGAGATCATGAGTATGAAAATAAATTTTTTTTTTGAAAACTAGAAATAATAATTATATTAAGAAAACATTTGGACTGTTAGATGGACCACCTATTTGCATCCATCTTTAAGATTGATGCTTTATACATTTGTATCGCATATTGTAGAAATGCAGTCAAGCCCGTATAAAACAACTTTTTTTTTTATACTGGCGTTTTAAACCCACCGGTCATTGCGAATTGGCTGAGACCAAATTGGTATCTATATCGAAATTGGTATTTATATCTATCTTCTATCTATCTATTCTATTTACATTATTAAGCCATAGTTAAAGGGTGGCGTCGTGAGAATAAAATAGGACCCTATACATAGAGATAAAATAGGGTAGATGTCCTAGAAATAAAGGATTTTAAAAATACTCTCTAGAAACAATGCAAGTTAATTAATTTATTTAAAATAATTTTAAACATTTACGTTTTTAAAATTAATAAGAATGAAAATTTAGAAAATCCCTATTGTGATAGATATGATGGAAATCATGGGCTTTAAAATACTAGTATGTATGCTTCTTTATTAGATTTTTTAAATCCTCTAAATCATAGAATTTTCCTTGGTGGAAATTTACTAAACCTGCTAAATGGAGTATTTACATGCCCATGTAATCGATTTCCCCCTAATCCTATTTATAAGGGAGAGAGCGCCAATGGGATACAGAGAGAGAGACTATGTTAAGAGAAAATCAAGAGAGATGGAGAGAAAATCAAGAAAAAAAATCATTGAAGATCTATCTTAAATAAATATATAAGATTTTCTTCTAATTTTAGATAAAGCTGATATCGTTTATCTTATTTAAATATCATTAAATAAATAAACTAAATACCCAATTAAGGAGAGATACTAACACCCACCTAGAGAGAACAAAATGAAGGCGTGAGAGAGGGGTAGGCACAAGACAGTTAAAACCAGAGAAGACGGTGCACGTGAGAAGGGGGTGAATGGGAGAGAAGGGGGGGTATGAGAGGGATTTAAAAATTCCTTTTTTTAAACTTTTTATTATATGTAATATTATTGCGCACGTATTCTCTCCCATATGTGAAGTGTAAGACGCTTCAAATTCATTTTAACAGTAAATTTTTTTATAATCTTTTTATTTGCTTTAAATTGTACTTTTAGTTGAATCTCTTCGTAATATTAATAATTGTTCCAAGTTTTTATTTGTTATTTCTTTCTTTTCAAATTTCAACAATATTAGTATATATTATAGGTTTGCTTCTAACATGCTTGTTTGCTCTCTTTTTTTCTCTCTTTATACTTAATTATGTCATTTGGATAGGGATTAGATATTTGAGTATTTAGGGTTATCTCACATTCTCTCCAAAGTCAATATTTAAATAATATATATTTTATTCTTATCCATCTTTTTAATTTTATTGTATGGATTTAAATAAGCTAATAGTTGGATTTAGATTTTTTATGCTTCTAAAACTGATCAATTTATTTATCCAAAAAAGCAAAAAGTAATGTATTTCTAAAACATTTATGTACAAAAATATCTCATAATTTTGTAAGTCTTTAAAATAACAATGTTTATCTACTAGAAAAAAAAATACAAGTTCTAAAATCTTTTTAATTTTTTGTTCTAAATTTTCATGGTTTTCAATTATTGGACATAGATGTCTACAATTGAGTTCTACAATATTTTAGTAATGGGAAAAGTTTATATAAGTGCAAGGCTCTAAACAATCAAATTAGAGAGCACCTCAAAATTTCATTAAAACATGTTGTTTTGATATCTTCAAATTGATCATCTCGACCTCAAGATGCATGGACATAAGAAAAAAATGGATTTCAAATTTTGAAAATAGTGCATCTTGTAATGCATTTTTAGACTGTTATTTTTCAAGATTTTCATAGATCTGTTTGATTTAGACTATTTTTTGAAGCTTTAAATTTTATAATTAGAAATAAAAATATATTTTAAAGCTATCACAAAGATTTCCAATGTTAAAACCACATTTTTCGACACTATTTGAAGGTGTACTTTACTTTGATTGTTTAAAGCCTCGGCTCCATACAAACAAGACCCTTTAGTAATGTTTATGAAAAATATAAAAAATATACCTTAATTTTTGATTTTTGGAAATAAACTTCAAACTTTCCAAAACCTCATCCATGCTCCCTTTTTCGGGTGAGTAGACGAAAGTAGCTTTCACAGTAGTCTTAGAAATTTGAAAGCACCACAGTCTATTGAAAACCATAATGGTCATGACAGGTTGCAAGTCAAATGTAATTTTGAAGCATCACAACACTTAAAGAACCATGATGGTTTATTGGACTTTCACAAATCTAATTTAAGTGCCACATGGCATAAGAACTATTAACGACCATCATGGTCTTTTAAGTACTGTGATGTCTCAAAATATTAAAACTGCCAATGACTATCATGGTAGTGAATCTATCGTGATGTTTTCACGGTTATAAGACTTTCGTGAAAGCTATTTTGGTCAAAACAAATACAACAAGTGAAGAAAAAAATATATGGATGAGATTTTGAAAAGTTTGGGGTTTATTTTCAATAATAAAAAAATTAAGGTATCTTTTTTATAATTTTCCTAATATTTATTATTATAATTTTTTTAATATTATTTACATATTATACTTCAAAACTTAAAAGTAGAAGTCCATGTTAAACAAAGTATATGTCATTATTCAAAATTTAATATATATCAATACAAAGGTAGGCTCTATTTTGATTGTTTAGAGCCTAGGCTCTATATAAACTTTTCCCAAATGATTTATGTTAGAAATACTTTTATGTCCCAAAATTTCAATCCACATGCTACAAATGCCCAATGAAAAAGGGTCATTATCCGATGTTGGTCGCGCCTAAGCAGGGTCTCGAGAGGGGTGGGTTGGAAACGGTTCTAACTTTTGGCTTATGCACAAAGTGATTGCTCTCAAGATTCGAACCCGTGCTCTTGCGCTTGTTACCTGGGCCTTTACCTTCACACTAAGTGACGGCCCCTACAACAACGCTATCTATACAAAAATATTTTTGGAAATATTTTTCTAGAGATCTGAACAACCCCTAAAATCAAAGTTTCTAAGGATCTAAACATCCCTTAAAATCGAACTAAAATCGAGATTTATGGGGTGGGCATTTAAGGGACTTAAAAATATGGGAGATAAACTTAAATAAAGTGTCTCTGTTAAAGGAAGGTTTTAAAGCAAATCAGGTTGGGACCTTTAATATCATAAAATTGGTTCCATCTCGACCGATTCCCGTCAAAATTGACCATCTTCATTTAGAAATAAGTTCTAAGGCTATACTTGTTGGTACCTTGCACGATCTCTTACCATCAATCGTTAGGACGATGATGGATCAAAGTGGTCTAACTTCAAAATGTAATTTGTTTTATTCACTAAAAAGGGAAAATCATTTGGAAAACGAAAAGGAACCTAGCTTTTATGCGGCCAGAAATTTGGGCCTCTTAATAAATCTATTTTTGAGATGGATTTTAATATTTAATTTTAAGGACATGTAATCTCTAACATGGAGATCATGAATATGAAAAAATAATTAAATTTAAAAAACTAAAAATAATAATTTTAGTAAGAAAACATTCAGACCGTTAATTTTCATTATTTTTAGATGGAACACTTACTTGCATCCATCGTTCAGATGGATGCTTTACATTTTTTGGACCGCATAGATAGGAATACAGTCCAGCCCGCATGAAACAGTTTTCCTAAAGAAAAGCAAGCTTGAGGAACAAGGAGTTTCGGTATTTTGGCGGCTTAAACCCTCAATGACAAAAACGGGGGGACTGCAAAACCCTAAAATGGTTTTGGAAAAATGTTTCTTTAAATCGTTAAATCTTTTTCCCACGGTAACCCTATTAAAATTTGCATGTCGAGTCACCTTCTGCAACTTTCTACTTATTTAAATGGCTTACTCTCCTCTTTTCTGTGAATTCTGCGATGTCTGATGGCTAACCGTTATTTGTAGCGCAGATAACCATCTTCTTCATTGCAAAAGCTTGAGAGGATAGAGAAAACATCCAGTGCTTTTCAACCTCTTGAGCTGTAGAACATGGCAAAGGCTTGTGCTTTGGGTCTCGCTGCAGTGGCTTCTGCTTCATTGGCCATTGAGAATGTATATGCAGATGGGCCATTTCGTTTTGGTTCATTTTCTTCTGCACCCCAAGCTTCTCCTGAAAGTCCATCCAAAGTTCCTCAAAGTCCCGTTGCTGAAGCCCACAGCGAAGAAACCCGCGTTCGAAATAATTATCCGAGGACTACAGCTGCGGGTTTTGATCCAGAGGCTCTCGAGAGGGGAGCTGCAGCATTGAGAGAGATTGAAAAATCTCGCCTTGCATCTGAGGTTTGAGTTATGGATATGTCTTGTTTTGATTGTCTCTCTATTTGTCTGAATTCAATGGGTTTTGGGATTTTTTGGTTGTATTACTATATTGCATCCCTGTGTCGGAACTATCAGTTTTTTTTCTGTATTCAGTTTTGTCTGAGTTGAAGAGCTTTTGGGGTTTTGAATTGGTATGTTGCATTCCTGAATTTTAAAATTATGTATCTTCATAGGTGCTTGTGATAAATTTCATTCTTTAATAGTTAATTATTCATTTTGATCAATGGTTATTCTTCTCCATTTAATTTTCTTTGCCTTTTTCTGGACGGGTTTTGGTTTTCTTTATCTATCAGAAAAAAAAGGTTCTCTTTTTCTTCTTTGGTAACTGGTAACTAATTTTGTATCTGTGGGTAATTTCTTGGGTTTTCTTTGGTACGTCTGTAGGTGTTGAAGACTGTAAAGAAACAGGAAGAAACAAGACAGGCCGAACTAGCAACAAAGAAAGCTGAGTTACAAGCACAACAAGCTCAACATGAAACTGTAATTGAAGTTCTCTTATGCTCCACATAAAATTCGATTTATTTATTTTGTATTTTTGAATGTGACTTGAATTCTAAACTAGGCTGAAACTTTTGATATCCTTTATTTGCAAACTAAGGAAGCCCGATTGGGTATCTTATTGATAACTATGTATCATGAGAACTACAGTTAGTTGCTTTGGGTTGTCATCAACTTGGTCAATTGATTGGGGATACATTCTCAAATGGGCACATTTGCAACTTTTTTCTCACAAATGTGGCTGTTACGCATGAATCACTAATCTCATTGGAAGTCATTGAAGTGATCCCAAGTGTGCATGTGACAACTGGACATGCTAGGTCCTGTGTAGTATATGGTTCTCTCTGTACATATCTCTGGTTCGAATTTTCCATTATTTTGGCAGGGTTCTTTTTATACCTTAAATTTGTAAGCTTAGATTGTAGAATTGGAATATGGGTAATTTTTTTATCTTCCTATAATCAATTCTTCTAATTTTACTCAGTTGGTAAATGATAAATTGCGAATCCGTTTTATATATGATTTTGAAAAGAAGGTTGCTTATGGTTTCACTTATGATTCATGTATTTCATCAAATGACACTTAAGGGATTGGTGTTTTTCGGCCATAATATCTGGCTCACTTGGGATTAATTTCATTTTTCTTGCGTGAAATGGCTTTGATTTGACAGGAGAGACAACGTGTAATCTATGAGGAACAAAAAAAACTAATCCAGCAACAGGCACAGACAAAAGCCCAAATGGCTCAATACGAGGATGAGCTGGCCAGGAAGCGAATGAAGGCATGCTCTTGAATTCACACCACCCCCTCCCCACCCCCGCTAGAAGCCTCTTGTCATTTTCAGGGCATGTTCTTTGTTTATTTAAACCATGGTTTTCTCCTTACTACACAGAAATTTTGTCCAACAAAAGGATTACCTACCGTATATTTCACTAACTAGAAAAGAAAATTGAACTCAACTATAGCTTTTTAATTTATCCAGAAAATAAAAAACCTTACCCATGGTCTTTTGATAGGCTGAACATGACAGTCAAAGAGCAAGGAACGAAGAGCTTGTAAAGATGCAGGAGGAGAGTGCAATAAGGCTCGAACGAGCTCGCCGTGCAACCGAAGAAGAGATTAATGCACAACGACTCAAAACAGAGAAAGAACGTGCAGCGATAGAACGTGAGACAATAGGGTTAAGGCCTTTGCAGAAGCAGAAGGGAGAGCTCATGAAGCAAAACTAGCAGAAGATGTAAATAAAAGGATGCTTGTTGAACGAGCAGCTGCTGAGAGAGAAAAATGGGTTGCGGCTATAAACACAACTTTTGAACATATAGGAGGTGCAAAAATTTAGCAAAATTTAATGTTTCTTAAAACTCAACTTCATAGCATTGATAATACATGTGTACCAGCTGATTTCATTGCATTCTTTGATCTGCTTATGTTAGAACTATAAACAACTTTTCAGGGTTTCATATTACACATTCTTTGATCTGCTTATGTTAGAACTATAAACAACTATTCAGAGTTTCATATTTTAAATTTTGTGGAAGATATTTTGGTTTCTCTCTCTTGTTTATAAATATATGCTGATCTTTTATACATTATTTTTACTGCCTAAATTGTTTTAAGCCTTTTGTGTGTCATATTTATATTGTTATTTGAAAAGTGGATTATGATTTTGTTATACATTAACATATTGATTCAAGTTGAAACCTGTACCTCAACATCATGTGACCAGTAGTTTACTGTATTAAAATCATAGATTAGTAGAATCCTCATGGTAATACATTTTATACTTGTTATCCCACTGTAAAGTTATGTTGGGAGTTTTTAATGCTAGTGAATAATGGGATATTTGCACAGAGTTGATTTTGACATTTAGATCCAGCTTTGACCTAAGTCATTTTGGGAAATCTTTAAAATATTTAATTAATTATTTCTTTTACATTCCCTTTTTTTCTTTGAAAGTTTTAAGACTTGCACAATCAACTTCGCTTGATTCTCACATATTGAATCTCTGACATTATACTATTGCAGAAGAGAAATACTTATACCCATCCCCAAGAAAATTGTTTTGATAAGGAATGACATATCAAGATTGAATTTGTTGTTTATTTGATGAGGAGTTTTTATACATTTGGTCATGACTTTGGATAGAGCTCAAAGTAGCCAAGTGAATTTTAGGTGGTTCACTAGCCAAAGGAAAAAAAAAGTTTGACTCATGGTTATTAAGATCGGACTGGCCATTGAACTGGTAAGGGATTAGGTCTAATCAAAACCAGTTCGACCGCTGGTCGAGTCTGTTGGACCAGATTTAAAAAAAGAAAAAGAAAAATAAGAATCATAGTTTAAAAATATTTTAAACTATTAATATATCAGGAACAAATTTTCAGCTTTGTTTAGTAGTTGAATTGGTCAATTCCAAACAATCCGAATGGCCGAAACCAGTCAAATATCAATTTTTGACGGTTTTTGTACTAAAACTAGATCTTTGCTTTAGACCGGCATTAGTCGGCAGTCCAATTGGTTAAACTGGGTGGTCCATGTCTTCTCTTGATAACTATGGTTTGACTTACCTCATTTGCTTTCTTTATTTACTCACATTGTTTGCCCCTTAAATGAATCAATGTAAAATGAACAATGAATAGAGAAGACAACGTTAGATTTATGGGACCATCAATGAACACTAGGGAGCATATTGTCTCTTTGTCTTGGGATTGATACACATATACCACTTTTGAGTTGGAGGATAGCCAAGAAAAATGATCTTTTCACATGTGACATTGACTTGGTCCATTTGGTCATTGTCATGGCCATGGCATGTACACTTCGTGGATAAAACAAAAATGTTTTGGACTATAGAGTCATGGTTGAAGATCAAGGTGCAGATTGATTGGAAGTAAGCCTTGTCAGCTGGTGACTTCTTTGTATTCCGGCAAATATTGGCAGCTGCTAGGAACTGTGATGTACTCTGTGGAAATGATATCTTCTCTTAAAGATAATAGGATTATCCATGGAACTCCATTATCTTGGATCCCTCTGCAAAATGAAATTGTTGGAAGGTAAGTCTGGCATATTCTAGAGATTTCCTTTTCATTTATTATTGGAATGGAGGGACATAATTTCTAGAGTTCTCTTAGTCACTAGGCATCACCTTGACACTTTACCATATCATATGTTTGTGTTTGCCTATGTATTTATTACTAATTCTCATTATTGGATAATAGAAAATAACTTTTATTATGTGGTTAAAATGGGTTTTGATAAACTAATTCTTTTCTTACTTCTTAACATATAAACTCCTGGTCATGTTTCTTTAGAGAAATAAGCTCCTGTCCTTATTATAAAACTATACTAAAAAATGTAGTTTCTGGAGCTCATTTCCTCTGATTTATGCATAATGTAGTTATTATGATAGGGACATATTTATGTAATGATTATGATACTGAGCAATGGCAATTCAGTTCTTGTGATTAAATTTCTAAGTATAGCCATTGTACTTATATTCCTTCTTTTTCTCCTTTGGGCCTTAGATGCTAGCATATGGATGTGTATTCTGCTTCTGAGGGTCCTTGTTATCACTTTCTTTGCCTATTATAATAGAGATCGTAATTAGGTTGTCATGCATATTATAAGATCACTATTTTAACTAAATTGATCAATTTTGATTTCCAAAGTGAGGTTTCAGTTTTGTAAAAAAATTCCTTGTAACTAAACTGACAAATGTTTGACACATTTGGGACTTCTGGTCTCTTTAGGCGGCTTGCGGGCTATTTTAACAGATCAGAACAAGCTTGTTGTAGCTGTAGGGGGGGTGACAGCTCTTGCAGCAGGGATTTACACCACAAGGTATGCTTTTTCTTTTCTTTTTTCTTTGTCAAATAACTAGCAAAAGACAAGTTATATTTTGTTTGTTACAAATTGGAAAATTATGCTTGGATTCTTGTAAAAAGATTTTGTTCTATCTTATTAGAAATTTGAATGGTACGTACTTTTATGTTACAGAGAGGGTGCTCGTGTTATTTGGGCTTATGTTGATAGAATATTAGGGCAACCATCTCTAATCAGGGAGTCATCGAGAGGGAGATACCCTTGGTCAGGTTTGCTCTCGCGTTCCATGAGCTCACTATCAAGGTCCAACAGAAATAGTGATTTGACAAAAGCTGCCAACGGTTTTGGAGATGTGATTCTTAATCCTTCTCTACATAAGAGGATTGAACAGCTTGCAAGTTCAACTGCCAATACGAAATCACATCAGGCTCCATTCCGTAATATGCTCTTCTATGGCCCTCCTGGAACTGGAAAGACCATGGCTGCTAGAGAACTAGCTCAGAAATCGGTAGATGTTCAATGGCATAAGATCTAGCATTCCTATCTCTATCATGACTACTGTATAGGCTTAGGCTGTTAGGCTTGCATACTCTCTCTCTCTCTCTCTCGTGCATGCTTGTATAGCTGTTAGAGAACTAGCTGAAATGACCAGCATAAATTTGAACAAAAACTTGTTTATAGAAATTTTTGTTACTTATGGTAGTTCAACTATATAATTTCTAACTTTACATGATTTAAGCACAGACTTTTTAATAAGAGTTGCTGTAACATAGGGAAGCCCAACTATTTCAAGGCTTACTTTATGTATTCCTGTGCTCTCTCTCTCCCCCCCCCTCCCCCCGTCCCCAAAAAAAGGCATAAACTAAAGCACAAACTTGTTTAGTAGACATTGTTGTAAAATACAGGAGCCCAACTATTTCATGTCTTTATATAAAGGAAAAAGGTTATATAAGGGCGAGGCCCTAAACAATTAAATTAAGGCACACCTAAAAAATCCACTAGAAAATGTTATTTCGATGTCCATAAATCCTCAAATCAATCATCTCGGCCTCAAGATGCATAGACATGAGTAAAAAAGGATTTGAAGTCTTGGAAAAAGTCCATCTTGTATTTCTTGACCGTCAATTTTCAAGTTTTTTCAAGTGTTCATAGATCTGTTCGTTCTACACAATTTTTGAAGCTTTAAAATTTATAATTAGATAGGAAAATAACGTTTCAAGCCATCACAAAGATTTCCATTACTGAAAAACATATTCCAAATACTATTTAAAGGTGCGCCTTACATTGATTGTTTGGGGTCTCAGCCCTATACAAACAGCACCCTTTATATAAGGGTGTGGTTTTTATAGAGCCGAGCCTCTAAACAATCAAATTAGAGCCCACCTTCAAATAGTGTCGACAAATGTGGTTTCAATATTGGAAATATTTGTGATACTTTAAAATATATTTTCATCTTTAGTTATAAAATTTAAAGGTTTAAAAATAGTGTAGATCTAGCAGATCTATGAAAATTTGAAAATCTTGAAAATGGACGTTCCAAAAATGCATTACAAGATGCACTATTTCCAAAACTTGAAATCCATTGTTTTTTCTCATGTCCATGCATCTTGATGCCGAGATGATCAATTTGAGGACATTTAGGCATCAAAACAACCTCTTCTTGTGAAATTTCTGAGGGAGGCTCTAATTTGATTATTTAGAGCTTAGGCTCTATATAAACTTTTTCCTTATATAAATGAAGCACAAGCTTGTTTACTTGTAACATATGGAAGTCCAGTTATTTCAGGGTTGATATTCGTGTGCTATCTCTCTCTCTCTCTCTCTCTCATTCAAAGGGACGAACACACAGAGACACTCATATTCACGCAGAGACAAATGCACACACACACGCACGCGCACATACACTGCATGCTGAAATTATTTGCTTCTGCAGGGGCTGGATTACGCATTGATGACTGGTGGGGATGTCGCACCATTAGGTTCACAGGCTGTCACTAAGATACATCAGTTGTTTGATTGGGCAAAGAAGTCTAACAGGGGCTTGTTACTCTTTATTGATGAAGCAGATGCTTTTTTATGCGAGTAAGCACCATTACACCCGTTCAATGGTTCACATATATATAATGTTACTTTCTTAGTAATTTAGGTGCTGATTTTCTTGTGGCTTGGCCAGCATGATGGTTGTCCTTGCTTTTGGAGTTAATGATTATCTGATGAAGCTAAAATATCTGCATCTACATACATAGCCTTGATGCCCAGACACTGCTGTGATTATGGCTGTCATCAACTTTTTCCTTGTGTTTTTACACGCTTTAAGTGTTAGGTGTTAAATTAGAGGTGGAGGAAAGGAGGTGGGATGTTCCTTTTTTTTGTTGGATAGTTCAGCAGTAGTTTTCAAATTATTGATGTAGTGTTGCAACCTTCAAATCTTAATCAGTCAAGCCCATGCCAAAATCTTGAGGAGGGAATTTCATGTACTTCGATGATTTAATCCATTTGTCTTTGTCTTTTGCTCAATGAAATAAATACTGTTATCAAAGCATATGGCAAGAAGTCCATAACTGATCTATATAATGTAGGACCCATTGTATATCTGTGTTAATATAAGACCCACTATATAAAGTTAATATGTGTTATATGTTAAGCGAGGTGGCCCCTTTTCTTCTTGCAACTCATGTCCTTTTGTTGCCGATTTTGTCCTCTTGGTTCTTAAAATTTTATCTATGTTTGCTCTTCTGCCTATTTATTAGTTTCTTACGCACGTCTTAATGTATTCATTTCTAACTCATGTTGGGACTCTATCTATTGGATTCTAGCAGATGTTGGGTATTTGTTTGATTAAGCCCTACGATGTTTCATATATCTTATATGATAAATATTAGATTTCTTGTTTGATGCCTATCTCTTCCATTCTCCTCACATGCGCACTCTCTCTATATACCTCTTCCTTTATAAACCTCTCTCTCAAAATAGTAACATTCGAAAAGAATCCCAAATCCAATTCAGGTATATCTTATAAAGTAGAAACATTCCAATAAAAATTTCAAATCTGATTTAAGTATGGGTACAGTTTACAAGGCAGTAACATTACTTCTGTATCTTATAAAATAGAACTTTCCAATAAAAAATTCAAATCTGATTTTAGTATGGGTGCAGTTTATAAGGCAGTAGAAGTAAGGTTGCAGTGGCTGTCTTAAAAGATGTGCTACATCTACCTTGTCCAACTAAAATGGCGGGCGTAGAACACCACAACCGATTATATAAAATTTTTCCTTTAGTATATTTTATAGAACTAGAAGATCTATTTGTCAAAAGAAGTTTTTGAACTTTTTAGTACCATCGAACTCTTGTAAAGAGATAAGGGAAAAGATAGTGATGAACATTGGGTTTATCCTTTTTATGCCTATCTCTTCCTTTCTCTCTATTGAGGTGCTCACTCTATATTTTATCCTTTATAAACCTATCTCCCAAAATAAAAACATGAAAAAAAAAAGATGGATAATTAATCAAGAAACAAAAATTAAAATCCATCCATCATAAATATGTAATAATAGTATAATCAAGAAACAAAAAATTAAAACCCATCCATCATAAATATGTAATAAAAGTATGTTATACGATTATTATTAATATACTGATATGATAAAATGATAATTTTACTTTAATGTCGTATTATTATTATTTTAAATATTAATAGAAGAGAAAAGTTTATATAGAGCCGAGGCTCTAAACAATCAAATTTGAGCCTACCTCAAAAATTTCACTAGAAGAGGTTGTTTTGATACCCAAATATCTTCAAATTGATCATCTCGACTACAAGAAGCATGGACATGAGAAAAAAATGGATTTCAAGTTTTGGAAATAGTGTATTTTGTAACGCATTTTTGGACCGTCAATTTTTAAGATTTTCAAGTTTTCATAGATATGTCGATCTACATAATTTTTGAAGCTTTAAACTTTATAAGTAAATATAAAAAAATATTTTAAGGCCATCACAAAGATTTCCAATATTGAAACCATATTTCTCGACACTATTTGAAGGTAGGCTCTAATTTGATTGTTTAGAGCCTAGGCTCTATACAAACCGCACCCTTAATAGAAATCAAACTTATATAATTATAAATATTAGTAGAAATCACTATTTTTACTATAATTTTGGAGTAATTATAGTTAATACAAATACTCAGTTATCATTGTATTAATGTAATGATAATTGCATTTAGTATAATAATTATATCTTGTTATTGATTATTTATTAGAATTATAATTGACATCAATGTTTTTAGAATCGTCTCGGTTAGGAATTCGGCAATTGGCTCAAGGCGAGCTACTCAAATCTTAGAATAGACTCGCTCGAGTAATGTACACCAAGGAAAAATGTAAAAAAAAACAAACAAAAGGTACAAAATTGTTAAAAATAAATTAACAAAAATTAAAAGAAGTAATAGAAATTATTAAAAGACTATAGAAGATGAAAAAAATATAAAAGATGGAGTATGGGAAATTTGATTTATACAATGAATATTTCAAAACAACCAAAAAAATAAAAAATAAAAAACTGGATTGCGATAAGAAAGCTCCCACATCATCTTAAAACCCAGCAAAGTTACATCTACAGAGGTATTTTATTAATATTGCAGGGGTATTTTTGTTGTTTTATTCTTTGATAGTAATTTTTAATATTTTATTTAGATGCGAGTTGATTAGGTGTACACACACGCCGAGTTTCAAGTCAATCTGATTTGTAGAAAGATTGTTAAAAATTTAGACACTATCAGGCAACCATGACATATGATAGACTTTGAGTGGAGATAAGCCATGAGCGAAATTGAATAGTGATAAGCCACGAGCGAAATACGTATAAATTCGCATACGAGTGTTTGTAAGTTTTCTCTTATATATATATATATATATATATAAAGGGGCCGTCACTTGGTGTGAAGGTAAAAGCCTCGGGTAGCCAGTACAAGAGCGTGGGTTTGAGTCCTAAGAGTGACCGCTTTGTGCATAAACCAAAGGTTAGGACCGTTTCCTAGCCCACCCCTCCCGGGACCCTGCTTAGGTGAGACCAACATATACAACCCTTTATCTATATATATATATATATAGGTGAATTGCTACAGTGTTTTGCACTGCCACGTACATGCTATGTTCGTGGCAGTTGATTGAACGGAGCTGCAACGGACGACATGTAGTCCATGGAGGTTATGGGTGTTTTTTGACTGCTACATACTTGCTATGTCTGTGACGGTTTTACCGCCACGGACATGCTAGGTCCGTGGCGGTCTTCAATCCTTGTGCCGAGCCTATGAGGGAAAACACTGTTTATTTTCGTTTATAAGCGTTGCGTAGTGGCTTCCTATATATATATATATAATATAATTGAATATTTTTAATATTATATTTATTGCAATTTGTATAAATTAACGACCAATATTCTCAAATAGTATTATAATATTATAATAAATATTGAAGTATTTACAAAGTCAATTAGAAGCATAACTATATTATATGCATATATTATACTCAATTCAAGTATATCTTATAAAACTAAAGATAACTATTTATAAAAAAAATGATGTGAGGCCTTCTCTTATAAAGGGATAAGGGAAAAGGTAAATATTAATTATTTTACATTATGGGAGGTGGAGATGCCTGTTCATATGAATTAGGATATTTTGGGGCCCCCAAACCTCGTATCTTGGTTAATTGGATTTTCCAGAGTTTAGTATCCCTATATTGAAAATATGATATATAGTGAGTTTTGTAAACTTTCCTTAGAAATATGATATATGATCTCTAGGGACAATTTAACATGCTCAATATCGCCGAAATTTAATATAGCTCCTTTCTAAACTCTACATGGAGGACAATATAATACTCTTAGTATCTCCAATGCCATTGATAGTATGTAACCATTTGCTGCTCCACATGTTGAGTTGGTAGATGATGAACCCATAAAGTATATGATAAGCATTGGGTTTCTTAATGATGCCTATCTCTTCTTCCTTTCTTTCCCAGATCTTGTATCTCACAGACACACACGCACACAAGGTGCCTGACAGTTTGTAGAGAGGAAACTATCAACGATTGTTTAAGGAGAGAACTTATCCTTCTCATAATTCTTACGAGAAGAATCTATGAAAATAGTTGGAAATTGGAGTGAATATGTATTTGTGTATTTGGTAGAGGGAAAAAGTAAACATGTATACTCTTAAGTTGTTTCTAATTGAAATTTTCACTTCCATGCATTTTTTTTCTTCAGTATTACTATTTGCCTCTCTAACTTTTCCTTAAATTTCATGATCTTTTTTACTGGATGGTAATCTTTAAGCTTCCACCTAAGAAGCTTTAGTTTTGTGATTACAACTGCTTTCTCTTGTTATTTTAAATTCTTAAATAGAATTTGTTAAAATTTGTGTCTATTTTTTCATCATCATCATATCATCATCATCAAAGCCTTTTTCCAACAATATAAGTTGGCTCCACGAATGTGGTCCGCTAATGTGTAGTCTTCATAGATAAAAACTTAATAATGTACATTCTCCTGGTGGCTTTTAAAATGGGTCAAATTCTCAAGAATTCTTTATATTATACTCATTTTAAATAAATTCATCATATATTTCTTCAAAGATTTGTTAAGAATACATTTTCATATTTATCTTTCATATCTGAATTAACTTGTTTTATTTATGTTGGATATTTGGAATGTTTGATACGTGTGTTTCTTCCACTCTTTGGCTGTGAATTGATATTGATGTTGGCTATAGTGTACTCACAATCCATTGTGGCCCTCACCAATCATCATGTTAGTGATACCCACTATAACAGGATATGAACCCAATGGTGGGCAGCACTATCATGGTGGCCTGATTGGTCTATGCTTTTCTCTATTCCACGAGCGTAATCCTAAAACTAGATGAAAACTTCAGAACACCCCTAATTCTCTTTTATGTCTTTTGTGTAAAATTTTTATTCTTGCATGGCTAATTCGTTCTATGAGTACTAAGTGAACATCTTAAGGTGTTGTATGATCCAGTTATTTTTCATGGCTTTAATTCGGGTCCAAATGTGCAGGCGCAATAAGATCCATATGAGCGAAGCACAGCGCAGTGCTCTCAATGCGCTATTGTTTCGCACTGGGGACCAGTCCAAGGATATCGTCCTTGCCCTTGCCACAAACCGACCTGGTGATCTTGACTCTGCTGTAGCTGACCGAATAGACGAGGTCCTGGAGTTTCCATTGCCTGGAGAAGAAGAGCGTTTCAAACTCCTCAAACTCTATCTTGACAAATATATCGTTAAGGCTGGTGAAAAGAAGCGAAAGTGGTGGCTACCTTTTTTTAGAAGGAAACAACAGAAGATTAAGATACAGGGTTTAACAGATGAAGTTATTTGTGAGGCAGCTGCCAAAACAGAAGGCTTTTCAGGTAGGGAGATTGCAAAGCTCTTGGCAAGCATACAAGCTGCAGTATACGGAAGTAAAGAGTGCGTGCTTGATGCGTCCCTTTTTAGGGAGGTGGTGGATTACAAAGTTGCAGAGCATCAACAAAGGAAGAAGCTTGCATCTGAAGGGGGAGCTGTTTAGTTTTATTGTCCTATTGCTTTCTCATTTTCCTGATAGACCCATAAAAGAATAAATGAACATATGTGCCTCTCTTTTTGGTTTGGTAAATGGAGGCAAATGAGGCTTTGAACAAACGGTCCGGATCACCCATCATAAATGATTAAGATACAGATGGTCCAGATCCAATTTTGTACTTGTCAGGGGTAGTTTTGGACCTCTTGATCTGCATGTGTTGCTGATCATATTTATTCCGTCTCGGTTGTATTGCCATTGAGTTATGGCTTGTATTCAGCAGGTGAGTATCTGCTTTTGCGTTTCTTTTGTTAATTTTTTGTCCTCCATGAGAGGAGCCTTGTCATATTTCAAGAATTTTAAGATGATTATAGCTGAGATTCATATATTTTCCGTCAAGAGAAAATGAAAAGAAGTGAATCAATTTCTATTGCACTGTTACTGGGTTATGCTTGCCCTTCCAGCTGCTACCTGCTTCCCTTTTTATCGATAACATTTATTTTCTTCATGTTTGCATCTTTTAACATAGAGATCCGGTGTTTACTTTGATATTTCAATTTATTGACGATCAAGGGGCTTGAGCTGCTATAGAGTTTAGAACATGTATTCGCTTAGTGGATAATTTGTGTTTACTGTGTGTGGGAATTCTGTAATTATTATTATTATTATTTTGACAAAAGTGTAGGAACTCTGTATTTGTATTGCAAATGTTTGAAGGCGAAATTCTTCAAAAAAATAATAATAAAAGTTTAAAGGTGATTTTTTGAAGGGATTCCTGAACTTCTTATCCAATGGTATCAGAGCTGCTCGTAAATTGTAATGGATTTATATGGTTTGACTTATCAATTTTGTTGGACTCGAGCTTCCAATCCAATTGCATTTGAATTGTTTCTCCAAAACCTCAGAACATATGATAAACTGAATAGTTTAAATTGAGTTTCCTTGAAAGGATGAAGTTTTCCTTGCTCAGGATGAATCAAAACCGAATAGAACACATATACCATCAAACCAACACATAATTATTGGAGAAATTTCACAAATACTGTAAGAGAATGCCTTTTTAATGCTCTAATGAATAGAAAGTATGCAACAAATTGCAATCAATCTTAGCAGTCAGATGTAAAATTGAGCAACTAAGTGTGTCATTTTTTATGCATAATGTTTGAGAAAATATTTTTAGAACTAAGTGCTAAGAAATGGTGCAACCCTAACTATTCAATATCGCGTTTGATGGCTAAGGGAGATTGGTAAATTTCATGTTGCATTCAATCTTGAAATAATTTTGGCTTCCTAGAGTACCACTGTTTGTAGTTGCATCTAGCTTATCCCATAGCAAGTCATTGATTAAAACACAACTCTTTCAAAAAACCTCTTGAGTTTGGAAAATATGTTGAAAATTCCAAGTTTTTTTAAAGATCTTCAGATAATAGCATTTTTCGGTGGAACCAATATAAATGCACAACTTATCACTTTTTTAAAAAGAAAACTTTTTGAAAGAACTTATTCCTTGTTTTAATATCATCGTTTTTGGATTTTTATTTTTTTTTTGAAATTTCTCTTGACTTGAGATCTATGAATTTTTAATTTGGGTAAGCGTACTGGAAGTTGGATAAAATTAAGAATCTTTAAACCCAAAAATTCTATAAAAAATTTCATCATTGTATCCACATTTTCCTAAAAAAAATACAAAATTATCAATATTCTAAAGAAAATATGTTCTACCAAAACAACCGCATTTCCTAAAAAAATTGTAAAGCTAGAGTAGTCCAACGATTATTTTTGTTATTTAAAGAACAATATCATTTCAAAGAGGAACAGTGAGTTGCTTAATCCTAATTAGATATTTAGGTAGTGGGGATTTGACTGTGAGATTTGAATACTTATGTTTTCTTGCTAACGTCCTCAACCTAGTGAAAAACTCAAAAGTAAAAATAACTGGTGGAATGAATGTGCATTGTCTAATGCACTAAGCATTAAATGTTTTTAGAAATTCATCTAAATTTAATTAAGTGAACTAAATATTGAAATGAAAATTATAGAACTCGGCACAAATTTAAATACAAAAATTATGAAACAAGTATAGAGTAGGCATTGATAGTTGAGAACTTGGTTACACATTTTAGATTTAGAAAGATGCAAGCATTCTTAATGCCATAGACTTATATAGACAAATGGAAGACATATAGAAACAAGAGAAAAAATGACAGTTATTTCAAGAAAAAAAAACTCACATCATCAATGAGATTTGAGGTATCAATATTTATTCTCACTTTTTTCGTTATATAATCTTATACTCATCTGATGTTAATTGTACAAGACCAATAAGCAGAGATTTAGCCAGAAAACCTTCAAGCCACACATGAGAGAGAGAGAGAGAGAGAGAGAGAGAGAGAGAGATGAGGATATAATGAAGAAAGATGTTTGTGTAGACGATGACGTGTGGAGGAATTCCAGTAATTAAAATAATAGAAGATTGTGCAAAAATTGTTGTATAATTCTTCAATCTATGGTGATGGGATCGATTTTTCCTCAACTAAAGCTGATTAAAGAACTGGATTAATTGTCTCAAAAGGTACGAATATTGAAAGATAAGCCAAATTCTAAGTTCTTTCTTGAATATTATGTTTGAACTTTAAGGGCAATTTATCAAAATACACCTAATCCCCTATAATTTAATATTTTACCCTTTTCGAACTACTCCAAAAAAGTAAAATGTTAAGTAGTGAATCCCTCATGTGTATTTTGATGAACTTCATTCTTAAGCCGTTTCAATGGAGGTTTAAGGAGGGGGCTTATGACTTTTTAGAATTGGATTGAGCATCATGCTCAATTTTTCTAAGGTTAAGTCCGGAAACGTTTAGTTAAGAAGTGAGAAATTGCCGATTATAATGGTGCAATGTTGAAGACTTATAGCGGTCCTAATGGGTTTGTGACATCTAATGAAGCTGAGTTGTAGTTGCAAGTGTAGGGCTTAATGTCGGACAATATTCAAGGTGAGGTTATAATAGAAGGTGACTCGATGAATGTCATTAATTGGTGCATGGAGGTGCCATGGTCTCTTAGATGGCTGTGGGAAGAGGATATTGCTGCAAGAATGAATGTTATATTTGTACATGTTTGTAGAGACAAGAATGAATTCTACTGCTGATATGTTGGGTAAACGTGGTGCAGATAATTAGGTGTTGCTGAAATGTTGTAGATAATGTTGTAATTGTAAAGGAGAGTGATACATGTATATAGAAGTGAGAGTGAAAGGATACTGACATTGTTTTCGGTTTTCATGATATTCCTTCTATTGGCTTATGGTTACATCATTTGTTAACAATTGCCCATATTTAATTTATACCAGTGCTTTGCTGCTGCCAAAGCATTTGTTGAGCGCATTTGTTTTTGTTCCTTTCTTATTTTCTTTTATAAATCTGTATTCATGCCGCTGGATAATGGGTGATTTTGTGTGAATGTAACTGAGGGATAGTGAATACCCCTTCAATAATGCAAGAATATGGCAATGGATCGAAACCCTCAACTTTGAGAAAGAGGGCAAGAGTCCAAACCAAGATATTCACAAGAACCAGGGTCCAAAATCTTCTGATTTGGCATGAGAGAAAATGGCATCTGCAACTTCTATAACTTTGCTAGTGTTTGGGGCATAAAGTTTCATAGAGAAGAGAGCGGGAGAGTTTTGCCTCTAAAAATGGTACTTTTTAGAGAGAGGAAGATGAAGGGGCTGTTAGGGTTTGGGTGGAGATTTTTACATAGAAGTAAACGAGATTTCAAAAAAGTACTTCTTTGAGCGAGGAAGGACGATGAAAAGGTCTTTCAAATGGAAAAAATTACCACCGGCTACCGGCTAGAAAACAAGTTAGCATGTAAAATTATACTTCTATTTTAATTCCTTTTATATATATATATATATATATATATACATGGGAAAAGATATTGTCAGCTTGCGGTCCACAGTATTAGCCAACGATCTAGATTGAATCTAAGCCCAATCAATGGTCATGACTTCATTTTGTATTTGAATTTTTATTTTTATATATATAAATTCAAATCGTTCAAAATTTTTAATTTATATTCTTAAAAAATAGTAGAATTTAATAAAAATATAAAAAAAATTATTCGAAAAATATAAATTGACAAAAATACAATGGTATTTTGTAAGTTGGTGTATTGGAACTTTATTTGTAGAGTGCCTTTGTCTTTTAATAAAAATTTCAGTTTTACATTTTATGTAGATTACAAAAGTAATTCTTGTCTTGTAGTGATATTTACAAAATTACCTTTACTTAATGTTGAAGATATCACATAAAGTAATTTTTTATTATAAAATGAACCACAAAGTTAATAAATCCATCATTCATAATTCATTATATCATTAACCATTATAATTTGAAAGGTTGTGAACTTTAGATTATCCATATCCTATATGGAAGATACTACTGTTAGCATATGAGCCCGACGGCTCAGATTGAATATGGATCGATCTGACGGTCACGTCCTCATTTCATATTTGAATTTTAATTTTAATTTTTTTTTCTACAAATCCAAATCACTTGAAATTTGAGGTATGTGTTCTTCTCATCAAGCCGCACCTAATAAAAATATAAAATAAATAATCCAAAAAAATAAAATTGACCCCAAAATGCCCTCTTTATGGGGGTATTTTGGTCATCATTTTTCATGTAAAATATTTTTTTAATATATTTTTTGAAGATTCACTAATTTTTTATGAACACACGCCTAAAATTTTAAGTGATTTGGATTTGTAGACAAAATATTAAAATTCAAACACTATCAGACATCTGTGATCGTCAGATCGGCCCAGATTCAATCTGAGCCGTTGGGCTCATATCTTCCAGTTAGCCCTTGAGCTAACAGGAAGATTTTCTTCTCTCTTTCTCTCTATCTCTCTATATATATGTATAGGGGAAAAGTTTATATAATTTTTTTGCGTAAGTAAAAGTTTATATAAGGTTGCATCCTTAAAATGTAGAATTACATATGCACCTCAAAAATCTATCGGAAAGGTTATTTTAATGTTGAAAAGCCCTCTATTTGATCATCTTGACATCGAGATATATGAATATAAAAAAAAAAAAGTTTTTGAGTCTCAGAAATGCTGCATCTTGCAACACATTATCTAGACCGTTCATTTTTAAGATTTTCATATATTTATAGATCTCCTTGATTTTAACCATTTTTGGAGTTTAAAATTTTGTAATTAGATATGAAAATAGATTTTAAGATAACCCTAAGAATTTTTTACAACAAAATTATATGTTACGATAAAATTCGGAGGCATGCCTTAATTGGATTGTTTAAAGTTGCAACTTTATAGAAACCGCACCATCTATATATATACATATATATATAAAAGGTTGCATCCTTAAACCATCAAAACAAGGCACACCCTAAAATTTTATCATAACATGTAAATTTTGTATTAAAAATTCTTAAGATGACCTCATAATCTATTTTCATATGTAATTATAAAATTTTAAACTCTAAAAATGACTCAAATCAAGTAAATCTATAAACATATGAAAATTTTGGAGTTATACGGTCTAGATAATGTGTTATAAGATTCACTAATTTTTAAAACTTTAAATCTTTTTCTTTTTTATATCTATAAATCTTGATGTTGAGAAGATCAATTAGAGTTTAACATCATCAAAACTTTTTTATTTCAATGGATTTTTGAAGTGCAATTTAATTCTATAGTTTAATGTTACGACCGTAGAGAGAGAAGGATGTTTCGATACGTGACGAGGAAAACATACACTCCTTTAGTATTAGACATGGTTGCCTGTAAACAAACAAAAAAATCTTAGACATGGTTTCCGATAAGCAAACACACAATTTCACTTAACAAACTATAAAGTTATATATTTCTCCCTATCCATGTTTCCGATATAAATAGATGGCTGAGATGCACTGAATCACAATTTCATGCCTATATACTATTTTAATTTTAATTTTTTTATACAAAATATTTTAACACCAAATTCAAATTTTGGGCATCCAATCCTCTCTTAAATTCGCACCTGAAAAAAACAAAAAAAATCCAGATAAAATAAAATATAATAAAATTTCAGAAGTATTTTGATTATTTTATTTTAAACTTATAAAAAACGTGATACAATAGGCACATAAGTACAAACATGTTTTTAATAAATATACTAAATTTTCAATGCTTTTCTCACATGCTCGATGCTTGGAGTGGTGGTGCTTATTGCACATGGAGAGGCTCAAAGATCTTAGTTTTATTTAGCCGAAAGGTGTTCTACTCCCTCGGGAGAATACTATCCATTTACTCCCTCCAATAAAACCCCACTTTGAATTAATTTTAGGGCCCCGCATTTGAGGATATAAACTTCTTAAAATAGATTGAATAGAAACCGTCCAATTTTTAGGTGAGATCAAAGTGTAGAAAACTGAGATTTCAAAATTTTTTCTTTTGACAATAACCACTAATGATTCTTAAGTGGTTCCCAAAATTTCAGATTGAAAAATCCTAGCCAAGCGGGTCATTTGACGGAGGATGTAGAAGTAAACTATACTCCCCAGGGAGCACAGTAAATGTTCACCTTGTTTTATATTTTATGTTATATACTAAAACAACAAGCGCTTATCTCATGGTGCTAGACCTTACTGCCTGATTTGAAGATGTCCTGACTTCGACCTCAGCAGTTAAGAGACCAAAAGAAATAGCCCAACAGAGAAATGGAAATTCATATTGCAAATGGATGATATTACAAAAGCCCCATTCAATAAATTTAATCCCCAACAAGAAAATGTCAAATTCGTGGCTCTTAAATAGACGCTGAACTACCAAAAACCCAGCAAGCACAAAAGAAGCGCATCCATTTTTTTGCCCTCTTTGCCCTTTTCTATGGTTTCTATGTAGCACAAATCAGGGGGATTTGGGCTTGTATGGTGACAGTGATATTTGACTATCACCGAGTTATCAATAGTTGGGCTCCTAAAAACGGAAAACAGAGATTTTCTAAACATATACTCATTTGGTTGTACCATTGGAAAGTTTTGACAACGGCTCCTCTGTCAAGAGGGCAATCTCCCTCTCCTGTTGCTCTTTGAGAAACTTTCGTGCTGTAGCAGTCACTATCTTCACAAAGAAGTTCATAAGCATGAGCAAGATGAATGTGTTCCAGATTGTTGTGAAGGACAAATCCCATCGCTTCCCCTGAAAAAAGAAAAATTTCCAATCAGGAGACCAAATATGTGGAAATCCACATCAGGAAACTGCACGGAAGAAGAATGTAGATAAGCTATAAAAATACATAACAAATCAAGCATATGCCTGAATCTCAAAATGCTATAGGCAGTTGCCAATGGTTAATATTGATTCCAAGAAAAATTTCATGCTCAAAAGGCGTAAGCCAAGTTTTCTGTTTGGATTAATTTTTGAACAGGGACTCAGCCACAAAATACATATTTTGAGTCAATTAAAGGAGGATATCATCAATAAATGGAACAATTATCAAAATACAGCTATAAACTATTTAACATTGCACCCTTTTGCAACTATTCCTAGTCATGATCATGGGTATTTTGATAAGTATTTTGAAATTAAATCAAAAGAAATGGATGCAATGTCAAATAGTTCATCTCTCATATGCATTTGATAAATTTCCCTTAATGATAAGAACAAAAACGTTTTCCAAGGTGTAACAAAAAGAAGACACTAATAACGAAGGACAACATTTCAATGAAAGGAAAAAGGGCCAGATTTTGGAATTTTCACTGAATTTCAGCACCAAGTGTCCAAAACATTATTCTCATGAAATACATACTGAACAAATACGATCTGCTTTCCTAGTGATTTTCGGCCAACACTCCAGACATGACTACGATCAGGAAACAGTGGCCAAAGTTCAAAATACAACAAAAATCTTCCATTCATTTAACCCTGGATGACTTTTTAAGAAACTCCCAGGATTTCATGGAAATGAGAAACATACCCCAAATCAAGTATAGATATATAGAAATTGGGGGACTCTTGTAGACAACAAAGAACATCAATTAGACATACCAACTTTTCAACATAAGTTATTCCCTCTGTTAACACTTCAACAAGGGAAAAAAAAGAGAGGAAATAACGTCCTACCTAGGCTCCATTCCCACTGTCAACACTTCAACAAGGGGAAAAAAAAGAAGGAAATACCAACCTTAATATTTGAAGCAACAGGAGCTGTTAAATACTTATCCTTCATCTTATGCAACTTGGCAAGGAGTTCAGGCAGAATAGAGGACATTCCAGGTATCAGGCTCAGCACCCATAGCAGCTCATTCTCCACCCACTCCAGAAGTTGATTATTACAAATTGAGATGATGAAAACCGTCTGAGACAAAATGGCAATGATTTGAGTTGCTGATAGGAATCTATAAGAGGTAATAAATCTCAACCTCCAAGCAATAGAAGTAATAGAAAGTTGTCAACAGCCCTAAAAATACGTTACAATAAAAATAAATTTAACACATTTAAATAGATAACCCCAAAAGAAGCTCAGAAGAAAGTGGATAAGGCAACACCACGGAAAGTGTTTTCCTGGCCCGTACTAGGCCCACTGAACGTGCCTCAAACTGGGACACTCATCTTTGCACAAAAAAGGACTTGTAAAAGTGCCTTTCTATCGAAGTGAATACCTGTATGTGGGTCTTGATGATTGCCTTCCCTATCAAAGTGGCGAAAAAGAACTCCCAAAAAGGAATCCCAAACTGCCCACACATGATACCTGCAAGATCGAACAATGGATTTGGCACCTGACACAGAAAACAACAAAGGGTTATTGAGCTATAAATGTGTCCAAAAGAACATAAAACTCCAGGCTTAACATTCTATGTGATTGTGCTTTAAAGTAAATGAGGCCAGTGTAGATGCACTAACTGTCCATGAGGTGTACCATTTAGGCACCGATTGACTTCAAATTGCCAAACGGCCTTCTTCTTCGAATTGTAATTTACCAAGCGGCCCTCTTCTTTCAAAGAGGCGCAACAACATAGTGGTGGTGGCGGTGGTAGTAATGGTGCTTGTGGTGGCGGCAGTAGCAGTGGTGGTGGTGATAGTGCAATGGAGATTGTGATGGTAGTGGTGAAGCAATGGTGGTTGTGGTTGTGGTGGTGATGGAAATAGTATGGTGGAGGTGGTAGTGGCAATGGTTACAGTGGAGGTTGGTGACAGTTTGTTCATGGAGAGAGAGAGAGAGAGAGAGAGAGAGAGAGAGAGAGAGCGAGAGAGAGAGAGTGT